CGCGAAAAAATACTGATCTGCATAATCGTACCGTACTGGTCTGGCGAATCGTACCGTACCGGTTTTCCATATACTCTAAAATAGAAGAGTCAACTGCACTCTATTTAGTGAATGATCAGCATAAATTATCAATTTTTTAAAATGTTTCGAAAATATTCAAAAGAACATAATAAATTCAACTTCCTTTTTTTTAAAGGATAAGAAAATGGCTACAAGGATCAAAACCAGAATCTCATCAACGTTAAAAGATATTGGAAATCATAATGTAATGATTCAAGTCAGAAAAAATCCAAATGTTAAAGAATTTCCTGCTCATTCATCATTTCTATGAGCTTGCTAACCTTATTGCGAAAATGCACAACCAACTAGTACTGTCGAGAAGAACTTATTTTTGTTACTCAAGGAACCAAACATTAATCCTACCACTTTTGACCTAATCCACAAGAATGCAATATGAGATTTATGATTTTGTAAAATCACTTTCATTTAATTAACTATCTTCCTCTTTTGTTCCTTTATAATAAGGTATATTTACACCGATAATTTGGATTTAACCAATCATTTAGGAACAGAAATTCTTAGTCTTCTGAACGCATCCGACGAATTACATTTCAATAGATTAATTAATCATATTCAAGTTTATTTAATTAAACTTCGGTCGGACTGGATTAAACAAAATATCGCTCTTGTTATTCATAAAGCCTTTAAAATTAATTGCTAATAATCTGCGAAGATCCTTCACCATTTATTATATTAATGGATTTTCTATCGTTGGATAAAGATATTCATTATGTCTTGCTTAAACGAGTTGATCTGCAGATCGAAGAAACAGTTCTCTTGGATTATTTAATTAAATGGGGTATCAAACAAACCCCTGATCTAAAAGATGATGAAACTAATTGGGACGACGAAGATTATGAAGCATTGAAGAAGACCTTAGATAAATTTATCCCACTCATTAGAATTCGGGTATTGATTCCGCGGATTTTTTTGAAAAAGTTCATAAGTATAAGCCAATATTTCCCAAATATCTTTATGAAAAAGTTTTGGAATTCTACATGAAAGGTTCTTTTCAAAAATCAATTATTTTATCCCCACGATTTGGAAAGTAACAAATGAAATCGAAGATTATCAAGCCAAGGTTTATTCCTATAATTATTAACTGATCGAAGGTCATGATGATGTTAATCCCTTTGAAAATAGCTAAATCCTTTAGTTTCGATGAAATGTTTCGAAGAGTTTCGATTTCGATGTTGTCGTAACTTCCGGGTTTTGCCTGGTAACCTTATCATTATTTATATAATTATTTTAAAAAAAAATTTTTTTAAATCATTAAAATCCAAACGATAATTCTGTGCCACTAATTATGAAGGTAAACTTAATGAAAGAAAATTAATATCAAGGTGTAAGCCTAAATAAAGAAATAAATATATAAATCAAAATATTAATATAATAAAAAAAATTTTTTCTTTTTATGAAGTTTAAAAAATTCCATGTTAATATATTAAAGTAAAAATCAAAAAACTATTATATTTGATAATAATATGTAATAATTCGATGGTTTAACGGTTAGTCAATCGGTCAATTAAAATCGTTTGGTTAAAAGGCTTTTGATGACCGTAGACTGACCCTACTTTGAATGGGACATTTACTCATAAACCATCCAATTTTTCAATTATAATTTTTAAATCTTTTTTTTTAAAAAAGAGATAATCGACAAGCATATTTAATTATACAAATTGATATACTAATAACAAATGTGATATGACTATACAGAAATTAAACCCTACAGCTATATAATTGGAAGTTTAATAAGCTTTACAAGTTCGACAACGAAATTCAATTATAAACAAAATCAAATTTTTATGAGAAAAATTTAAATATTAAAATTAGATTATTATTAAGTTATATAACTACTATTATGTTCAACAACATTTTCAGGTAAAGTATGTTCTTCATTAATATATTTAAGAGAATGTTCTTTCCTCTTTATATTACATCTATAAAATAAAAAACCACATGCTATAATTATAACAACGCCCAAAGATCCTCCAATTGATGCAATGGCAATTTTCATTGTACCCAATTCATTATTAGAGTTATTTTTAACAATAATAATTGGCGATGATTGTGGTGTTGATGACATTTGCATTTGTAATTTCAAATGAATTAACCCACGTATAGTTCCTAATATCCATGATATAAATATTATGATTTTCGGATGGTAATGGAGCAGAATTTTGTTGTGTAATATTTCCTATTGAAAAACATTATAATAAATTTAAAGTTTGAATTATTTTTAAAAAACAATGTAAAAAAGATTTACTTACCAAAAGCCACAATCATATAATTTCCAACCAGATTAGCTGTATGGGCTGCAAGTGATGGAACCTGAACAATATTTGAATTAACTTGCGGCACAATAAATTCAAATCGTTCTCTTACCGTATTTAAAACAAACATATCGGGAGCAGCTTGAGCATTATTATTACCCATACCACCCCCATAAATAATGATTTTATCATCTGGAGCTATTTAATAAGATAAAATATATAAAAGAGCAAATAAATACAAATATTAAAATATTAAATAAAGCATAAAACATAAATATATATCTAAGACCGCCGTATGACGATAATTATATTTGAAGATTTCGCTATCTATAATATAATAAAACTATAAGTTTAAACACTATTTATTAAATTTGATAATATTTATACATACGTTCATTGACCAAAATAAGGTCTTTGTATCAAAAAGACTAATACTTTTAATATCAACTATTTGTAAAGTATCTTCACGCATTTCTAAACCACCAATATATACAATAACTCCATTGGATAATAGTGTTGCAGTATAAGAAGATCGCGCAATAGGTTGATTAACTGCAATTGTTTCCCATGATAATTCGGCTGTATTTAGGATGATCATATTATTGTAATATGTTGTCGTTTCTGAACCTAAATTTTTATCAGCATATCCACCAAAAATATATATATTTTCCGGTATTATCAATAGCACCCTTCATATTTCTTCGTCTTTCAGGTGGAGTTCCTTCGATAGTAGGTAAATTCCACGATAAGCAATTTAAATTAAATGAATGAACATTTGATACAAAAGCATCTTGTTTCAGATCATTACGCATAAATCCACCAAATAAATAAATATTTTGTTCCTTATCATTCAATAAAGCAGTTCCCCAGCAACTTCTGAATGGTATTTCGGCATTTTGCGTAAGGGAAACCCATGGTGGAGCAGTTAAATTAAATGACTGAGATAAATCGAGATAAAACACTTGATTTGTGCAAGACTTAGCATTATCAACATATCCGCCAAAAAATACAGCTTATCTTTAACTAGGACAGTATAATGAGCTAGACGTCCTTCAGGAGTAAATGACTCAACTTTAAATAATAAATTACTTAACATGAACATGTAAAGTAATTTATATTTTTTACACGTCATTATTTCAATTAAGTTAGTTTTAATATTAAAAAATAATTTCTTTTTTGATAAATATCCGTCAAAGAAAAAAATAAATGGTAAGTTAAAAATAATTTTTTTTTGATAAATAGTTTAAAAAGTTCATTATATTCCTTTATTTGGGAAATTTGCATTTCACAGATATGCTTCAATATGCGATCCTTTTTTCTTTTGTGTAAAATATTCTTATACAGTAATTCTTTAAATATTGTGTTACATTATAATGCTAAAAAGCCATTTCCGGTTAATTAGGTTAATTTCTATCTAGCCGAAACCTGCTGCTTTGCATCAGGAGAAATCACGTGGAATTACGGCATTACACAAATTTCCAAAAAAGAAAATTTTGTCCCAGAAAAATTCGAGATCGAGTCACAAAATTGGTCACACGAGTTTCTATTTTGGAATTCTGTGTAACGTTATACTATTTATTAATCATTATTATTTATACAGGTAATATAATCGTAACGGCACGCACCCCCTCAATGTGATTGGATAGTGATTGAAATGGCACAAGCATTACGATCAATTGAAATAAAGATGTTGATTACTGTTTGAGCAATCTCTCTGTCTTTTTATCGGTTTTAAATGAAATTTCTTCAAGATATGAAGCGGTAATCTTGGATGATAATCCATTTTTCAACCCCGTTAAACCAGCTGTTGAACCAAGTCTTATTCCAACCTCAGGTTCAGCTTCTACTACTAAAACTTCTGATGCGTCTACTAATAAATCAGTGAAAAGAAAATAAATGGAATAATTGAATTCATAATAGCATAATTAAAGGTAAATATTAAATCTTTGCATTTGAAATTTTCGACATCTTTTATTTGCTGTAAGAATTTGTAACATAAAAAGGAATATAATAATTTTTTGGCTGAAAGATCCATACGAAAGAAGAAGTGCGATTGTGCAATATTTATTGTTGCTCAATCAATGGTAAAATTTGACCAATCAGCGCAGCTCTATGAAAAAAAAAGAAGGGTAGTAGCTCCAGGTATTTTTGACTTTAAATGTTCATCACAGTCGAATTTTTTAGCCAATCAAATCATTCAAGAAATCATTGAGGGAGGGAGGCACTTGAGAACGGCCGCAATGTATGTTATATAAAATAAAAAATTTGGTTAATTTTATATATTATTTATACTTATTATTAAAACCTTTTCAAAATTTATCCGATAAAAAATGTTTTGAATTATAAAAAAATTTTATTTTTTAATTAAACAAAATTTTATAATCCGTCTACGAAAAGATGACACGCTCTAAATGAAATAATATGTATAGAAAGTTTAATTTAGAAAATTTACTTCATTTCGTGGATTTTGAATAACATTACCTAATTAGTTGTATCTTTCTCCTTGTTGCGTTCTTACCCTCTTACAGTGTGTATAAAATTTCTACTACTGGTTGACCCTATGCCATCCTCTCCTTTGACTAGAAGAAAGTCTAAACAATGACTCCTTACCACGATTTCAATGGTGGATGCCATAAATGTGGATCGACAGACCATCTAATAGTAAAAAGTTCAGAACGTAAATTTTGCATTATTTCGTACTTAACACTATTAAAAATTAATATTAGATGACATTAAATAATTTTCTCCTAATATAGAATACCCTCGAGTATCAATCAAACATTCAAGAAATAAAAATTATTAATAAAGTAAAATATCATTGTTGATTCTTGTTATTTATTACCTAGAGTGATAATTAAGGTTCAATCCTGATGATATTGTAAGATTGATCAGAATAAATAATGACATGTAAATTGTTTTATATTAATTGAAGTTATGGATGAGTTAATTCATAGAGTGCCTTTTGTTTCCAGAAGTTATTTACTTTAGGCGGGCAGTTGGCAAATGTTAGTACACTTCCGAATGTGATCAAAATTTTCTACGTTGTAACGATCCTTATGTAAGATTTCTAATATTAAAGCATTTTTGGTTCAACAACCTACTGGGAGGCACATTCAAAACTAGATAATTGAGTATATTTTTCATATATAAAAACCATATTTTTTTTAATAACATACATTCTATGAGAAATTTAGTTAATTGTTTAATTTAAATATTTGCAAAATCTAAATTTAAAATACGCCCTAACTTTTTAACAAGTCTTGGTTAAAGAATCGGCTAGTAGATGCGGCTTCTCCTGCCAGAAATCACATAGCATAGCAACATATCATTACGATGATAATTTTATGATCTCTGAGTTGCTAGACCCAGTTTTTGCTGTAACAATGCACTTATTCTTAAATATAAGTCCTTTGATGAAACTATAATTTATTCAAAATTGAGAATATTTTGTCAAATTCGATTATGCGAATTGCAATATAATAATTCAAACAATGTTGTAAGAAAAGACAGCTTACCAATAAACTAGATAAATTAAAAAAGTATAAAAGATTGCATTTTTAAAAATTGAGAATTAACTATTTGAAAAGCGGATATTGTTAATATAATGTAATAATGATTTCCCTCAGCGATGAATAGATGAAAAACTGTTCAATATCTCTAATCGTTCTTTTACAATATTCTGCTGCTGAAGAATAATTTTAACTAAAATTTGCTTTGAAACTGAAAGAATTCATGTTCTAATGGTTTATAATACTTTTAATTATATATTTTTTTATATTTCTATTATTTTCGCGTGGAAAAAATTATAGATGAATTGATCAAAGAAGAATAATATAAATCGTTAAACTATAACATGAAGAATTATTTAGAAGAATGATGTATAAATTGTTAAACTAGATAATGAATCGTTCTCTTTAACCAACTAACACGCTAAATTACTTAAGAATTAAACTACTTTATTCAGGTGGTAATATCAATAGAATGCAACATTAATACTAATTATGAATGTTGGTTTGATACATTAATAAATTAGTACTGCATTAGCTGTTCAATAATATAGATTGTACGGTATTATTTACATTGGTTTAACGTCGCGAAGTGAAATTAACCAGTATAAATAACACTGTACAATATGCATAAAATATGAAACTGCAAACATGGTTCAGTTAATACATTTTACATCTTAACGTACCATTGGACCGATTAGTCTAAATTAGATACATATAAATGTTTTCATGCCAATTTTAAAGTTTGGCACACTATCAAAACAAAGTGTACCAATGTTGCTGCCAAAAGAAATAGATAGATGAGGATAAATATAAAGATGTAATAGAGGTGTTGATGAAACAAGCTTTATTGCTAACTTTGTCTATTATTTTATTACGGAATTAATACAATTGATTTATTTTTCTTAATTTTGAAAATTGAACTCGATTAATTTTAGGATGTGCGCAACGGAGGCATTGTATAAAATTGATATTTGGTTTTTGATTGTGAAATAAACACTTTTGCTGGAATAGATATTATGCTAGTACAGTTTGTACATAATTAGCACTCCAATAAAAGTGTTATGTCGTAGTCACAGCGAGATTATGCTTTAAATTAATATTGTAATAATGAAAAGTATAACAAAGTGTAATTTACTGTATTTACCAGTTGGCAAAAATATCAGTCTATAAAAATCAGCATGGTACTAATAGACTGATTAGTAAACCTATTATATGATATTAATAATAAGATTAACATTTGACACAGATTATCTTTATAAATAATTTATGTAAGTGATATCTTTTTAAACTATATATTAAAGAAAAGGTTTAATATGAATCAATTACTACAGTCGGCTCTGGATATAATGAACCTGTACCTGTTTATACCGAAAATTCGTTATACTGAATCATGTATTACAGGACTGATAATTTTATAATTAATCAAGCTGGATATAACGAATTCATATAATAAAGCATTATATACAGCCATATATTTGATAAACCGAACAATCACGTGATTTAAAATTTAGCATATGAGATTGTGTAATTGAAAAATGTTATACTATAGATTGTGTAAACGCGGATAATCTTATTTTGCCAAACGCAATAATCTTTTATATAAAACGTTGAAATTTTTTGTTTTAAAATCTCCAATATGTTATTACAAAAGCGTGAAATTTGTGAAAAAAAAACAACGCAAATATTTCATTTGTTTTGCACAGCAATACCGACTTTAATATAATAAATTAATAAATTTATTGTTATAAAGTGATTATATGTCTGTATTTTTATTGGCTATCTTTATCTTTTTTTCAATAATAAATATTGTAAATCTTCTATAATTTTTTACAAAATTTTAATAGAAGTACAAAATATTCATATTCTGAATATCTAATATAATTATAGGTTACAGTATGATTTCCCAAAAGCTACTTATTTCTAAAATTTCAATTTCCCGATCCTAATTATTCTGTAGCTTTTGATTATATTTCATTTGTATTCTCTATTTACATTAATAATAAAAAGCAAAACGAAAAAAATTATTACATTATTTATTTACTCATTGAGAAATATTAGTAGTATTTCTATAAGAATAACAATACTGCATAATGGACATTTAGCAATAAAAATTATATTTCTTGACAATTAATTAAGCATTGAAAAATATATAATACATATATTATCTGAAACATAGTGAAGGATAATAATTATATAACAATTACATAATATATAGAAAATTATAAATGTACTAATTATAAATGAATTGGAATTTATATTATAAACTTAAAGCAGCATATGTTGGACAACATAATAAAGAATAAAAGAAGTCTATTAACTGATTATAATTTACCATCCAATATCAGAAAACATCACTCATATCTTTAAGAATTTTTGGATTAGTGCAGAATTTGAAGCAATTATATTTATTGGAAAAACTATATCCCTATTTGAACTAATATTAGAAAACTTTGCTACTATAGTTTTTCTTAACAACTACAATTAGATACTACTACTCCAGCCCCTTGTAAACAATTACAGCGCAAAGTTAAAAGATTTTTATATAGTTTAACCTAGAATACTTGAATCAGGTTCAGTCAAAAATAATCAAAGCGGCCAAAGATTTAAATTATTTTAAAGAACCAGTGAAAATACAATTTAATTTAATTGCACTCTTAATAATTAACCCTATTTTAACATTAATAGATAACATGACAAAGAGGAGGAAATCAAAATAAATCAGACGAACTTATACAAGAATAACTGCTAAGCCTTAGTAGTAATTAAGGAGACGAAGATAAAAATCTCATGGAAGTAATAAAAAGGATGACGAAAATTTAAATGATAAAAAAATCTTGCAACAATAATTAGACAAATAAATGATTCTTTGGTATTGCAAAAAAAATTAGAGATACACAACCACAAGCATTTCTTAGAGAAACTAATATTATACTAGTACAACCATTTTAGAGAAATGATAATAAAGATACAGAGGAATAGCTCAAACATTTTGAAACGGTAGCAATAGCAAATAATTGGACACCTGCGCATTATTGCAAGAATTTTAAAAGACTAACAGTATTGTGATATGATAATGAACAGCAATTGTTTGATATTAGAGTATGCAAGATAAGCTGCCACAAACTTTATTTCTATAATTAGAATTCGTTTGTGGGGTCCCGCAAAGTAATTTTAATAGCTTAGCCTCCATTTCTTCATGTTTGGGGATGCGATCTAGCATTAATTCGGTTTGCAGTTTTGCTTGTTTAAATAACATTATTTACTATAGATCTATTTTAAATAGTTATATTTACGATATCAACTGGTAGATTCTTCATAAAGAAAGCTTCGACCATCGCATACTTCATGAAATAAAAAAAAATAATAATTTTACTTGATATTTAAGTCGAGGAAATATTGTAACTCTTTATTATAATAATCATACTGAAACAAAATACGCTATAAAGAGCCCGCATACACGACTAAATGACGCATAATATTACATTATTAATTTTATAAAAGCATTTTATGAAGATTAAATAATGCTGATAACACTTGCCCATCTTCCGTTTGGTTCTTTAAAATTAAACCAGTTGTATTACGATTTCCTCTGGCCACTTCCTCATAGTTATAGCAATGTAAAAGTGAATATGTTAGAGATAATGATTTGAATTTTTTTTTTCGTCTCCACAGATGAGATTCTATAAAATAATTCAATATACTGTATTATTAATTAAAATAAATTTTTTCACATCTAATAATCATAAAAATAATAACGTTTTATATTATAAATAATCTTAGCTTCAAACAAAGAAATTTAAATAATAAACTTTTAATGATATTTTAAACATGAAGTTACACAAAATAAGAATACTTTTGTAGTGAAAGTTGGAAAACTGCCGAAAATCATAATAATTCGTAAACCTTTTACAAAGCGCTATATTTCTACTAATTTTACGTAGGAATGAACATATTTACGTCGTTGAAGAAAAAAAAACTTATTCTGTTCTTCTTTTAAATATTAAGTGCAATGATTGTATTCTCGTAAGTGTACTATTAAAATGGTCAAGATGTAATTTATCTTGATGAATACTATCTGCTGGTAAAGACACCTCATATTTTCTTACTATATAGAGAGACATAAAATAATTAATTTCGGAAAGATAATAAATACGTGTGTAGATATAATATCATGTTTCTTTATAAACAAAAGATTTTATAGACGACTTACATAAAGCACACAGCATCACTCTTTGTTGAATAAGTGAAAAGTTGTTACCCAAACATCTATTTAATAATTATACTAAATAAATTAGATATTCGACGAAAAATCAAAAAAAAAGTCCTCGACTTACGTTCTGGTACCACTGCCAAAAGTTAACCAAGTATATTGTTCGCGTTTTTCATCATTTTCATTCTCAAATCTTCCAGGAATAAATTCTTCAGGATCCTTCCAATATTTTGGTGAATGATGGATTCCATAAATATTTATTGCGATAGGTGTTTTCGGCAAAATACATGATTTCTAAATTTAATAGTCTCTGAATTTTTTCTTAATGGTAATCGATTAACCTTCATAAAAATATACATTTTTAATAAAATAAATTCTCAAATTTTAAAAACTTTAATTAACACATACTGGAGGATATAGTCTTAAGTTTTCCTTTATAACCATATTCAAATATTTTAATTCTCTTTGCTGATCTATGGTTGGGGTTAAAATATCGCCAAGAACGCGTAGTATTTCATCACGAGCTTTTCTTTGCACATCCTTATTCAATAAAGGCAAGATCCAAGTTAATAAAAACAAAAGTTATCTAAAATACAAAAATTCTTTAAATACCTTGTGGGTGGCTAAGACATATAAGATGGTTGTCAAAGCAGTAGCAGCTAATTTCATTATTTTTAAAAAAAACAAATAAAGGTTACAAGTTTAAATATGATAAATAAATAGAAAATTATTAAAGTTCTTCCTTACTAATATCATGACCAGCTAACATAAATATTGCAAGATTATACTACAAATTCAAGATTATTATTAAATAAATTTTCAAAAAAAAAAAATCTTGTTTTGAGAAAAGTTTCATAATAAATTATAATTCTTTACACGCATTTCTTCGGCTGACATGGGATATTTTGGATCACTAGAAGCGTATATCATACATTATAAAAAATCAGCGGTATTATTGCTTATTTTTATATTCAATTCTTCCGTTTCCATTGATTTACGTTTCGTTTCAATAAGTCCATTATATAATTCATAAATCTTTGCAACTTTTTTACGCGCTTCAGTACGATCAAAACACAGGAAATACTCAATGAATGGGATAATAAAATATATAGGTTTTTCACATTCGGCTGTCACTTCTTGATAAGTAGTAACATCGTTTGTTGGATCTTCAAGATTCTATTTAATATTAATTATTTAATCATCAACATCTTTCTCTCTTTTCTTTCTTTTTTTTTAAAAAAAAATTTTATCTTACATTAAAATCAAATCCAAAAGCAACTCTTCCGAGAACGTCCAAGGTAAGTCTGTAATAGTTGGTCTGATTTAAAAATATTCTTCCCAACCACGAAAAAATAATTCGAGATTATTTTACCTATACATAAGTTCTTTGACTTCTATGTGTCCATTATCAACTTTCTCAATGACTTTCAGTAATTTCACAGCATTTTCATCAAATACGTGCATAGTAGATTTTTAAACGCGGATTTATAATATGACTAAGAAATAAAGGGAAATTAATTACTGCACTGCCTGAATCAATCACTGATGATAAAATGATACAGTACCGATGACGTTTCCAAACCTACATACAGATAAGGCAATCGAAGGTCAATCAAAGATCATATCATATTCAGAGAAATTAAAAATACACTTACATCACCGTTGGAAAAGACAACGTTCGTACCGTAGTAATTAGTCATTAAAGATCCGGGAAACGATTCTTCGAGCGATGATTTAGGATATAAGTCTAATTCAAATTATAATGTCAAAAACAATCCAAAAAAAAGGAATTAAAAAAAAGATATTTATTAACCTGTTTTTGAAAATACTTCTTTTGTAAGTTCCAAATCGGTTGTAACGATACGCCATTCTCCATTGAACCAGAGCTATAGTTATATTTTTTTTTAAAAAAAATATTCTGAAGATTTATTATTATTATTCAAATAATGATAATTTTAGTTACTTTTCCAATTCCTTCTTTCTCGAGAACTTCATGCGTACCTTTCCAATTTTTGTTAGGACTATTAGAAATCATAGCTGAAACATATTTCAAGAAACTTAATGTTGGTACATCTTTAATTCCTTCAGGTACACTGAATTTTGGATAAACTTTATAAGCTATAAAAGATATAAAAACCAAAATGATTGTAAAAAACATTTTATTGAACAATTGTTTTTTTTATAAGAATTGGCAGAACTACAGTATATATCAGAATCGTTTAAATGATATCAAATTATTTATGTTACACAAATCGGAAAAGAAAAGTAATGATGTTCGAAGGCTGAAATTAATTAATAAGAGGTTGGAACCGGAGTTAGAGAATATTTTTGCGATCATAAATCTTAATTCTACCGGAAATTGAATTTCGGCCGGAGTTAAATTCATCTATTTTAACCGGTTAAAAATTAACCAGTTCCAACCTCTAATGTCAGTTAGGGAAGATAGAAAACAGTATGTCAGGCCAGACAGTCAGTATGATTATATCGATCGGTAATTTTTGAGCAATAAAAAACTGGTATGTTGTGACCTGCAGTGCTTCAAGTTGACTATTGCTCCAATTTAAAATTGGGACAAATTGAAAATTAAGACATGTAGTCATCCCAAGTTGACTATTTCCCAATTTAAAATTGAAAACTGGAACATGTGATATCTCAAGTTGACAAATTAATATCAGGATAAATTGGAAATTGAGACATAAGATGTCTAAAGTTGACTATTACCCTAATTTAAAATTAGGGCAAATTGGAAACTGAGAATTTGATATTCCAAGTTAATTATTAATCCAATTTAAATTGAAATTTAAGAAAATGAGATGTTCTAAATTGACTATTATTCTAAGTAAAATTGAAGCAAATTTGAAACTAGGAACATAATACTTAAGTTGACTATTATTTTAATTTAAAATTGAAATATACTGAAAACTAGAAATGTAGTAACTATTATTCAAATTTAAAATTGAGATAAAACATGATGTTTTAAGTTGACCATTTTTTTAATATAATTTAAATTTTATAATTATAAATCAAATTAAAAAATTAATTTTTTGAATACAATAAATTTAAATTTAAATAAAAAATAGTGAAATTTATTTTAAAATTATTTAATTATTTATTATTTATATAATATTTTTAATATAAAATTTACTAGAAAATAATTCTTTTTTTAATATTAATTAAAATATAAAAGCTACTTTTGAAATTTAATTATTAAAAAGAATAAATTTCAGAAATTTTAATATTCTTTACCAGGATGGTATTTGTTATTATATATTAATTTTTTTTTATAAAAATATTTCATTATATTATAATAGTATTAGAATATTAACTTTTTATTAAAGTATTATTTTGTAATCTAATTACTTCTGTAACTGTTATCATTTTATCTAAAATATCTATTAATTCAGTTTTATTCTTAATTTTAAATTTTTCCTTAATAATTTATATTTAATTTTTCTTTAAAATATCCTAATTCATAAAAATATTTAAAGTGCAAGTATTTTTTAGATATACAAGAAATATATGAATCCCAAATATTATTATAAAAAAATGTAATTAATTATTATTGAATAATAATAACTATATAATATAATTTTAAATTTTAATAATTTTGATCGAGAATCTAATATTTCTAATTATTTAGTATTATTTACCTTAAATAATATTTAATGGCATTGATTCTGAAGTCAATTTATCTAATTTTTAATAAAATAATATAAATAAGTTCTAATTAAATATAAATTAAAATAATAAAATTGGATTATTTTTTGCAAAATTTTAGTTAAATAATCATGAAATTTTAAAAAAATCTTGTTAATTATCCTGAAAATTTAATTAATGGTAAACCTATAAATAAATCAAAGGTGAATTAGTAATAATTATCAGAATATTATTATTAGAAATTGTATTTACTTCTGAAATAAAAAATTTAAAATCATGTAAAATTTAATAATTTATTAAAATTGTAATTATTAGATAATTTTATAAATCAGATTATACGTAATGTATAAAATAGAATTATAATTGCAATTTGCAATTACTAGATAATTTTAAATAAATAAAATTACTTATTATATGCAAATTATTCAAATCTCTGATATATATCAATATAATTTTATATAAATTTATAAAGTATTTTTTTCTTTTTCTTTAATTGTTAAAATTTTATTTTGCAATTTTTTCTAAATTTCATTTTTAAAAATACCAATTACAATTATTTAAGATGATAATGAAGTTCAACTTTTGATAAATGAAAGGAAAAGCAGAAATTTTGAATATTAGAATATGCTTAGGAGATCTAAATTACCTTTTTAGAAAAAATCACAAATAAATTAAAAGAAGTATTTAATATAAAAGTTACATTTTTACAATAATAAGCAAAGTTTAAAGAAATTGTTAAAGATTATAAAGTAAGTAAAGTTTTAATTAAAAAAGCTTATAATATCTAGTAATTATATAAAATAAAATTTATAAATAATAAATTTTTTAGTTATTTGAACTTTATGCAAAAAAAAAAGTCTAAAAAAAAGTAGAGTAAAATTAGCAAGACATATAAAAAATGATTTGTAATTTCATTTTAAAAAAAATCTGATAAGTATTTAAAAATACATCTATTTGATATTTATATTAAAATTTAGTTACATTCAAACTTTTTATTTTTAGTTTTTTAAATAGAAAATAAGCTGAATTAAATTAATATAAATTTTGTTATTTTAAGCTTCAAATATTTTAAACTAATTTTTAATATTTACTTTTTAGAAAAGTTAAATACTTCTCACTTCTCCAATTTTTCTTTTCCACAAAAATCTGCATCATCAAAAAGATCTGCATTATCTCATTAATATCTAATACTAATATACCTTCAAATATTGAAAACTCTCACTCTAACTATTAATATTCTTTATTATTATTTTTAACTATTATCATTCCTTTTTCTTTTCCATTTTTCCTTAAATTTCATATTCAGTTTTTTTTTATAATTTTTTTTCTGATTTTCTGCTAAAAAAAAATTTTTTTCTTAAATGAAACTTATTACTTCTATATAGTATTTAGGATCAACAGTTATAAACTAATCTATATCTGATTAATAGTAATCATACTTTAATATTAAAATTTTATTATATTCGTAATTTATTTTTTTATTTAATTTATATATCATTATTATAAAAACAATATTAAAGTAATTTCACAATTGGTAATTTATTAACACGGTATTCATAAAATTAGAAACTTTTATATAATCATAATTTATGTGATTTTAATAGTAAATTGACTATATAAAAGGATTTTCTATATATTCACATCTCAATATAAAGTGTATGCATAATTTTTGGTTTATTATATAATAAAATATTTTAGAATTTCAAAATTTAGACGAAATTATTTCAATTTTATTATATAATAAAACATTTTAGAATTTTAAAATTTAAATTGTAATGATAAAAGTATTTTGATTTTAATTTTACTCAGAATTATTAATTTTACTTATAAATATTATGAAAAATAATCTTTTATACATAAAATATATTTAAAATTATTATCAAAATTTTAATATAAATCAATTAAATATATTTAATAAAAATTATAATTAAATTTAATAAATTAATTAAATAAAGTTATTATAATTCAAATATCTATAATTTTAAAATCTTTTTATAACTATAAGTTTTGCTAATAAAGTAGATTTAAATATAATTCTATGCAGAATACATATTTTACAATGATTTATAAATTTCTTTACAATCTTTTTTTTTTACTTCAAACTATTTCTTCTTAATTTAATATATAAAATCTTTTGATCATAATGAAAGTTTTAATATACTCTAAACTAATTACTTTATACAATTTTTTTTATAATTAATATTAATATTATTTCAATTGATTTACCTTCTTTAATTAAAGTATTTTTTGTTCTATTATTAAAATTTCTAAATATAACATATTCTCTAATTTATAATAAACTATAATTTTTTCTACAATAATATTAAAGATCTGTATTATATAATTTAAATTAATATTTAAAGAATTGTTTTTATATTATTATATAAACTTTTATTTATCAATTATTTTTTAATCAATTTTTAATTTATTATTTTATTAATAATTTTATTAAAAGTTTCTTTGCTTATAAAAAATTTTTCTTCTATAATAATTAAATAAAAAAGATAAATTTTATTTTAAATAAAAGAAGATTTAAGATATAAATTAAAAAATTAAAATTTAATAAAGTATTATATTGTTAAATATAAAAATCGTCATTAAATCAAGATATGAAATTTATTATAGCTAAATTCAGACATTAAATTCAAGATGTATTAGTTTAAAATTTAAATTTAGATTGCCTAAAATTGAAATTTTATTTTTAGACAAAATGAATCTATTCTAATTTAAAGTTAAAACAGATTGCAATTTAAAGTATAATAAATATATAGTAATTAATTATAATATAATATTATATAAAAGATAAAATATTATTAATTATTTATAGATATGATTAATTATATACAGATATACAATATATTAATATAATGAATAATTAGTAATAATTATTAACTTATATTTTAAATATGTTTAAAACTTTTTTTTTATTATATTTCTAATTTGTATCTGCAAATCACAATAATTTATTATCAAATTTTTTTATATATAATGATTAATTAAAAAATTATTTTTCAATTTTTTATTTTTATTAATTTTTCTTTATGATTATTATTATTCCTTAAATTGTCTAGCAGGTAAATTTGCTTATAAACTTAAAAAAATATGTTATTTTTTTAATAAAATATTAAATATTATTTTTAATAATTTAATAATTATATGAAAATAGAATTTAAAATATATTTTATTAATTTTATTAAAAGAAATTTTAAGTTTATAAGATATTTTTAAATAATTTAATTTTAAATTTAAGTTTTAAAAAATTCTTTAAAATTTAAATGTTTATGAATTAATTAAATCACTTTACTACTAATAAACTCATAAATTTTTTAGTAAATTATAAAAAGTATAATAATCAAAGTTATTTCTATTATAAATTTTATAATATTTTATTATGATTAATATTGCTAAAAGTAAATATTAATAAGATTGTCAAAGGTTAATGATAAAATTTATTAATTTATATTTTTTTTAAAATTACAAATTTTTAGCTTAGAAGTAACT